ACCTTTATCAGGAAACGTAGTACCTCGTGCCCAGCTGTCTTTGTGCTCTTTCTCATCCTGTCTGGGCCCTGTTACAGCTGTCCGACTGCCCACCTGTCCCACACAGCCCTGGGGGGACCATTTCGGTCTCCCACTGTGCTTCCTCTGCTTGTGTTTCTTCCAGTTTCCATATTCTCTTCATTCCCACCATTCTCTTTTCTGTAACAGATAATTACTGATGGTCATGAAGCTTCAGAACCACCCACCCATCCCCACCTTGGTACCGTGTCCTCGGTGGCTGATTTCCACCTCCCTCCTCCCCTCCGCTTCAGCCCACTGCTGTCCCCTTTCATACGGGCATCCGCTCTTCAGCTGACCAGTCCCTGCTGCCCACCCTTCCTCCTGCCCTCCCTCAACTGCTGTAATCCTGGACTTCTGACATCACCTCCTTTCCCCCCTCCCCATCTGCCTGTCCCCTTTCATTGGCTCTTTCTGGCTCTGTATCACAGAGCTACTTTGTAAGGCTAGCACTCTAAATTGTGCCAGAATGTTTACAATTGGGGGCTCTTCATCTCATCAGAAGCCCTCCATATTTTGCCAGATAACTTTGCTTCAGAAAGTTGTACACAGTCTGTGACCTAGTCACACACGCAGAGTCATCAGTGACTCCAGGGTTTTAGGTATTGATGTTTTTTAAATATGCTACATCTAAATACAAGTCAGGTTCTTCCTCCGCTAAAAATGTTAGCAGTTTGCATAGTTCAAAAGGCATAATCCTATGCACACTGTAATCTAGAATTTATACTGCAATTAGGAAAGAAAAAGTGAATTATTAGTTTTTATTATACTGTAATTAGAGAAGAAAAAAGTGGGGAAAAAAAGTCTCATGTCATTTAGAAAGCTTTCCTCTGCTGTGTGATGATGCCTCCGTTAAGGGAAGCTGCTGTCCGGATCCCAGAGACGGAAATGCAGTTGGGCTTCGCTGCTCCCTCCGCATCCCCAATGTGTGTTTGCCTGTTTCCTTCAGAGAGAGAAACACAAGCTGAATCCTAACAGAAACCAGCAAATACACGTGAGAAAAGTGAGGACGAGGAAAGAAGAGTGGGAGCGAAGGAGAATGGGCGTTGAGTTTATGAGTGACGCGAAGACCATGGAGCAGGCAGGGAGCGCCCGGGAGGGCAGGACGCCCAGAGGGTTTGTCCTCTCGCTTTCCTGGATTGCTCGTCCCCGGTCGCCCGCCCTGCTTTGGCCGCGGTGGGAGGATGGCAGCCCCTTTACTGACAGCGTGTCCTGTAACCTGGGCCAGGCGCGCGAGACTGCCCTTTACTAACGCCCTCGGCGCTGTGCAGCTGCGACATGCCCCGCCCTGCAGCCCTCCCCGGGGCGGCGCTGGACGCTGCCCACTGACACCAGACCTCCCTTCCTGTCAGAGCGCCACACGCAGCTGGCTATGCTCTCAAAGGAAACAAGAAGGCCTCTCCATATATGCCACACTCTTTCTTTTTTGCTAAATACATTTCTTCTGTTGAAGAAAAGTATGATTCAGTGTATCGCGTTCTTGATTTCTTTACCTGTTCTGACTGTTAATATTTATCCAGTTCACCTGCCATTTTATAATTTCTAACTGTATGCTGTCAGTTTCATTGCCACTGAAATCCTGTCTGTCTTAGATGCTGTTTTTTAATTGAATGGAATTTGTTTTGTAGCCATCTCTCTTAGAGAAAAGTACGCTGAGATACTGCAGAACGGGGCTCTGCCGTTTCCTGCTTGCCGATCTGTCTGACTTGTTCACTTCAAGGCCGTGAATCTGAGTCCATGTAACACTGGGGCTTGCTGCTAAAGTAGTCACTATGTCGTTGCTTGGAAGCTCTCATGGGGCTTCACCCAGCTGATAGTAAAGGAAGTAAATGTGTGGTTTCTGTGCATTGGCAATGTTATTATTCAAATACATGTATATGCCCGTTAGGGGAAGTCTCTCTAACTTCATTTGTTTCTCCCACCCCCTCTTCCTGACCGTCAGGTCCCATGCATCGGATGTTACAGACTACTCCTACCCGGCTACCCCCAACCACTCCGTGCACATACAGCCCGTGACCCCTTCTTACGCAGCCGGCGACGTACCGCCGCAGGGGCCTGCAAACCAGGCACCGGAGCATGAGTACCGACCCCCGTCTGCCTCGGCGAGGCACATGGCTCTGAACAGACCTCAGCAGCCGCCGCCACCTCCCCCACCGCAGGCCGCCGAGGGGTCGCAGGCCTCCGCGCCCATGGCTCCGGCAGACTATGGGTAATTCCGTATTCTGCTTGCTCTCGTGGCCGCTTGCTTTTGCGCTGGGATCCTGCAGCAGGTGGTACAGGAATTTTAACTGAATATTCGTACTTTAGAAGCCAGAATGAATGCAGCCAAGAATGACAGGATATAGGTAGTATCAGTTATGACAAATTCTGTGTTAAAAATTCAAAGCCACGCCACACCCCTTTTTTATTACAGATAAGTCTCAGGTGTGTTTCAGTATTCATGCATGCACATTCCCTTTATACACATGGTTGTTTATGTGTGAACGGATCATTAAGGCAAGATGTTGATAAAGGGTGAAATGCCAGTCTTGTGAACCTGCCCCAATCCTCAAGTTTCCCTACATATCCTGGGTGAACCACAGAGAATTCATATCACAAACAAGAACTTAACACAGCACCCACGTGTCTCTTCTTACACTTGATATTGGAACCTCTTTTCTTAACCTCTTGGTGCCCAGATAACATTCTACCATTGGGTCTTATAGTTTTCTGGGTAAAATTCAACCACCTCCCAAAAAAGACCCTCATGTTTAAATGTTGATTAACTTTAAGTGCCCACCTTTATTTTGAGAGGCCGTCTTCAGCTCTCTTTTTTGGCTTACCCCTGATCTTTACAGAGTCAGCTGTTCAGAGTTGGTGCCCAGCTGAAATATGTTCCAT